GGGCGGCGCTCCGAGTCTGCGGCGGCGGGTCCTTCACTCGCTCTGCATCTTTGGCAGCACTGAAGGACCCGCCACCAAAATGCCGCCGAAGACCCGGAGCAACTGAAGGGCCCCCCTGCCGCCAAAATGCCGCCGAAGACCCGGACCGCTGCCGGGTGAGTAGCCAGGGAAGGGATTCTCGGCCAGGGCTCGCGGGGCCCAGGGCCTGGGGCAGATTGCCCCACTTGTCCCCCCACCCCCCGGGTGACCCTGTTAGGAACTCCATAGAATACATAACATCCTGCAGGCCACAGTAACTGCACAGGCAGCCACAAGTACTTCCCACCCTATAGAAGAAAGCCACTTGATAAGCTCCCAACCCTTCTGTTGATGTCCAATGGACAACAAGGGATCTACTGGGCCATCAATAAGCAGCTCCTCTTGTATATGCTAGTGAGGAGCTCCATGAACTCCCAGTCGCTAGGCAGGGTTCACAGGAATGCCTTCCTCATTCCCTAGCATTACCCCAAGACTCATGGGCACCAGATTGTGTGGTTGCCATGGGTTTCCTGTCTTGACAATTAGGTGTGCTGTTTTTCTTAATAAAATGTGACTAATTATTCCTAGCTGTGACTCCCTTGATAGCCAGGGCCCACTTGATGTGAGCATTCAGAGAAAGGGGTGGCATCTCTTCTGCCTTACCAAAGCAGATATATTTGTTCAGAGTTGTACTGGTAATTGTTAGTGTGACAATTTTCCAGTGGAGGGCATCTGAACTGAAACACGGGTCTTTGGCCCAGTCCTTGGCCTTGGCTGAGCAGTACCTGGCCCGAACATGAGGGCACTTATATGGTTGTGCACCTTTCTTACATCCCCTCGATCCTGGGACTGCCTAGGGCTTGTTTCAGCCCTAAAAGTTAGATCCAAAAGTTAGAATAGCCTCACTTTAAGCAGGGCATCAGCCTAATTTGAGCCCGCTGGTAACAGCCAGCAAGGACTGCTGAAATGCCTTAGCCCTTCGGGCTATTCCATCTCTTCCAGCCTACACCCTCCTTCTCCATGTTGGAGGTTTCAAGGGAGTGTGGCAAAGAGCTAGGCCATGTCTAACTACAAACTTACATCGGTTTGACTATGCTGTTCAGGGGCGTGAAATCCAAACTCCTGAATGACATCGTTATACCGACCTAACTCCAGGTGTCGACAGCACTACAGCAACGGGAGGGCTTCTCCCCTTGACATAGCTACCGCCTCTCATGGAAGTGGATTAACTACGCTGATGGGAGAAACTCCCCCGTCAGTGTAGCGGTATCTTCATTGAAGCGCTATGCCGCTGTAGCGATTAAATGTAGACCTGCCCCTAGTTACACCTGCTCTTCACCCTCCAAGGTTTCCCGCACACTAGAGACTCATCATTTGGCTGGTTACACCAATTTTACAGACTCTGTTCATCACCACAGCAGTGCCCGGGGCCCATAGCATGAGCCAGGATGTGGCCCCTTGTGCCTTGGGTACTGGCGTTCAGGTCTAAGAGCAAAAATCAGCTCTTACATGTGGACTCATGAAGGAAAGCATTACATATTAATCAGAGTTTTGTGTGTGTTGTATTCTGCACAAAGGTCCTGTAATTCATGGTGAGTGAAGAGAGGTTCACGCTATACCTCCCCCCAATACCCTATCGGGTTATTGGGTGGTTGAGCTGAATTGCAGAAGCAGAGGTTGATTCCAGGTACCTGCCACCCACTCAGGTGAAGTCTCTTTCAGTACTGGCGGAGCTCCTCTTTTAAATAGTAGCTGAGTTTGGGACTTAGAACAGCCTCTCGGGTCATTGTCTGGGAAATGCTGGCACCTGTAATGGGGAAGTTCCTCCTCCCTCTGCACCTTCATGTTAGCACCTGCTACAAGCCCAAGGCTTGAGACTGCTCTTAAATGCAAGTCCTGGTGCAGACTAAGCCAGGTTGGCCCATAGCAGGACATTTCTTTACAGGGGTGTAGTCCTGACTTTTTTAAGTTCAGAAGACTAGGAGTGGATGGGTCACTACAAAAAGTAATTTTCCCTCTCTTGATATTCACCTCTTCTTGCCAACTGTTGGAAATGGGCAACGGCCACCTTGATTGCATTGGCCTCATTAGCACTGACCCCCCACGTGGTAAGGCAACTCCCATCTTTTCATGTGCTGTGATATATATATACTGCTTACTGTATTTTTCACTCCATGCATCTGATGAAGTGGGTTTTAGCCCACAAAAGCTTATACCCAAATAAATGTGTTAGTCTCTAAGGTGCCACAAGATCTCCTCATTGTTTTTGTGAGGACAATAGCACTCAAAGGTGCAGGAACATTTGTTCCCGAGCCACTAGCGTACTGTTTCTGTATCACATGCAAGATGCCTTTGTTTACAGCTGGTTTTCTGGTTTGCTTGAGACATGACCTGTTTGTCTTTCCATCATTATTTAGTGGGAAAGTAGTTGTGAGCTGGGCAGGGGGCCTTGCACCTGGAGCAGGATCCCCTGCTGATCAGGGATTTCAGGTACTCATATTTGACGGGGCTCTCTTATCTTCCCTGAGTTCTTGGCCTATACACTGAGGGGAACAGTCCTGCTCTCCTGCTTTCCCTGACCAGTTCCCGTGTCAGTGACGTCTCTGTCCTGGCTCATTTCTCTGAATGCAGTGAGATCACTCATCAGCCTTGCCAGCATCATTCTCGCTGATAACTAACTTGGAACCAGAAAAGCCATTGGATCCTGTTTTGTTCTGGGACCTGACCCAACGGCTGAACTGGGCCAGCAGGAGACCCTGCAAAAACAGAGACCAAAATTAGAAGCAAAGGCAAGGATGCCTGATCATCTGGGCTGGGCTCCAATCTCTGGGGTGGGGTGCTTGATGCCTGTCCAGCTGGGCTGGATTCCAACATTGCGTCGGGGAGAGGGCAATGATGTACTGGCTGTGACCACGTATGATGCTGTTTCACTTATGCTGGAAGTGCAGGGTGAAAGAGCAGATCTCCGGCACTGTGGGGTTGCTGAGTGGACGTGGGTCATGAGTTTACACCGACCTGTATCGTTAGGGTTCCCAAATCGACTGTACACTCTGGGGAAAGCCCGAGTGCCTGAGTCACATGGGCAGCAGTGGGTGCAGCACTGCCCCATACCGGTACAGGGCTGAGTGGTGTTTGCAGGGCACCGCACAGTATTCAAGAATTTAAGTGAATAGGGTGCCCCAGGGCAACTCAGACTGGGTCAGCAGGACACTTGCTGCTCACATGAGCATCCTGGCTTCTCCTGTACAGCTGTTTCTAGCTGTGGCAACGAGGTTTTTCCCTACAATGGAAAAACAGCTACTGAGGGGAAGCCCAGCAGCCTCTACCTCCACAGGGGCTGCTCCACCCACAAGAGGAGGGCTGCTAGGAACCTATAGCCGCCTCTGGGAGAGCGTCACAAGCCACCAGCAGGACCAACTCAGCTGGGGTCTGGTGGCAGAGCCAGGATGCTCCTCAGTGAGGTACTCCAAGGGGGAGAAAGGGCTGGGAGGGGAGAAGGGGCTGGTGGGGGCAGGAGGAGACAGGGCCAGGTGGAGCTGCAGAAAGGAGCTCACTTTGATTTAATGTTGTTCTATGTCCACCTACAAAGGAGACAAGGTGGGATGGAATGGGATACGGGAAGGTGACTGGACACAGCCATGGAAATGGACAGAGGGGAATGGGGGAAGATAACTGGAACCCGGATGGAGTCGGGGGAGGGAATGACTGGATCCAGCCTGGGAGATGGGGTGGAGGGGGAAGGTGATTGGAGATGGGATGGGGTGGAGGGGAGGGTGACTGAAGCCGGTGGGGGGCTGAGGGGGGAAGGTGACAATGGAAGGTGACTGGAGCTTTGATGGGGCGGGGAGAGAGGTGACGATGGAGGTTGGGGGGAAGGTGACCTGGAGCCAGGATGGGGCGAGGGGGGGAAGGTGACGATGGGTGATGGGAGGAAGGTGACTGGAGCTGGGATGTGTGGTAGGGGGGAAGGTGAGAGGAGCTGGGATGGGGGGTGGGGGGGAAGGTGATGATGGGGAGGAAGATGAGTGGAGCTGGGATGGGGGGTGGGGCAGAGGGAAGGTGACTGGGGTCGGGGGGAAGGTGACTGGAGCTGGGATCTGGGATGGGGCAGA